TTCTTATAATTATTCATAAGTTTTTAAGTAAAATTTAAAAAGATGTAGATTTTGTGATTTTTAATCAATATTCATTTTAGGGAAAGCAAACATGTCTCATTTGATATAGACCTTTGATCAGTTATAATTGTTAAACATAATCCTTTGTAGGTCAGGGGTATACTCTGAAATGAAATGGAGAAAGATTTTTTTTAAAAAGGAAATTCTCATCAGTATTGGATCACCTTCTCCTTCACCCTAATTTCACTTTGGAAAATTCACGCTTTGTATAACATGTGTTTCAACAGATATAAATGATCTGCGATGAATTACCTTCTTTCACTACTTTCTAAAATATAATGTGTTGTTTTCAAGAGAAGACTACCTTATTTTGAGCTTCAAGGTTAGCTTTGTGTTCGAGCAATTTTTCAACTAATGAGATACTTGGATGACAGGCAGCGTAGTGAAGAGCAGTATTGCCATCTAAATCCACCAGGTTTGGGTCTGCACTGTGCTCCAGAAGAATAGCAGCACAGCTCTCCTTGTCACGCTGCACTGCCTGGCAGTACAAAAAGAATATATGGGTAACCGATTTACTACTCAGGATCTGATATGTCAAACTAAAGTCTAATACTATGTTCTAAAATATGAAATATAAGAAAAGCTAACTAGGATTAGAAGAAAAATTCAACTGAAAAGGAAAAACTAGCACACCTTAGTCGATGGAGATCTGTTTGCACCATTCCAGACACTTTCTTTGCATTGTTTCTCAATTAAGAGCGAGACAATATTTGAATTTCCATTAGCACAGGCCAGGTGCAAAGGTGTTCTGTATCAATATAATGAAACACAAAGTTAGAGGTAAGTCTTAGTTGGAGAAGATGCCTGCTATACTCAAGAACAAGCAAGATCATATATTGTTAAGGTACTTGCTTCATGTACTTATTTATATTTATGCAACATTTACACTAATTATAATTGCTTTTTACAGAATGAAAATGGCTGTGCAAATGCCTTAAAGATCAAATATTTAACTGGTTTTGCTTTGAAGAAAATTTAACTGTGAGTTAAAAAATGGTTTGTTTTTCTTTTAAAAACACCAAAATGGAGCCTGATCCTTGGAAAGAATGATAAAATTAGACATCCAATAAAACCTAGAAATGTCCTCCAAAATCTGAGGTACATGTGCCGGCTCCCAGGAGGAGGGGGCATTGCCTGTGTTTGGAACCCCTATTCCATGGCATCTGCCCCTAAGAATGTGTCTCTCCCTTTGCTCAGCTATAAAGTTGGCATTTGCATCTAAGAAATGAACACAAAGGCGAAAGCCTAAGGACCCTTTAAGTTGTAGATCTCAACCCAATTTTAACTTATTAAAATAATCTCTGCTTCTCAAAGAGCGATGTTCTGTGTAGCCCTTCCCAGAAACCAAGCACACACTCATGAAGTATGTCAGATAGGAATTAGTTCCGTTTAAACTTTGTAGTGTTTAGCCTGGACTGGCCCTCAGTGAACGTTTATTTATTTGTGAAGGTGGTATCGTCATATCCTTGCTTTTAGGTAATTTTAAAATACAGAGTCCTTATATACATAGCCCCGTTCCCAGATGAGAGACTTCAGATGCCATTGCCCCACTTAATTTTAGGTCCTCAGAAGTAATTTATGGGTCCCCAGACAGACCTGTTATTGACACTAACAGTAGCAAAGTGTGTCCCAGAAGGACTTGAAAATAATGTAGCTTTCAAAGAACTAGACTGACGAAATCCATACATGATGATATAACTTACTATTTATGGGAATAAATCAAGAAAATATTAAAAATAACTTTGAACACTTAGAAATCCAAAGTTCTAATCAAGTTTACCTGAATGTAATCTCTATCAGCAAGACTATAACTACAGTACAAAAAGCGGACACCTAACCAATATATTATTCTGTTTGAAGAAACACTATGATCAGAAAGAGAATGGTCAGCTTGGATGACAGACTAAAGCCAGAAGTTATACATGATTTACATCCTCCATGGTAAAGAAGATCTGAATTTAAGGAACCCATACTTGCCAGTCATTGGAAAGGAATACTTTATTGTAGAACAAAAATGACTCCTCAGACATCCACGTGTAGATGAAATATCCCCCAAAATTACCTACTTTATTTTGCTGTGATTCCATCCTTACCAAACACACTTCTGATAACTAATTTGATTTCTCAGAAATCCTGATACAGGGAAAACACTGATTAGCCTTTTTATTAACATCCATAATTTAGCTTAAAGATAAACTTCCTTGCATAATAGGAAGTTTCTCCAGTCTTCAACCCAAACATACAGGGCCAAATGGCTTTAAGCTGACCTAAAATAGCTTCTTGCGGTAGCACAGCAAATCCAACAAACATTTTGATCCATCTCCTTCACTTTTACAGATATCTCAAGAATTTAGTCTTAAGGAACGTAGATGGCTTTTACTCAATTTTTAGATCCATCTCTCTCTCTCTAACTCCAGTTCTTTTTTCTATGAATTAAAATATACAAACAAAACCCAAAAACCAGAAACAAAACCCAATTTCTCTTCTCTAAGAGAAGGTAAGTGGCATTTGTTAATTCCTGGTAGGTCCTCCAAACGTGGCTGCTGTAGCCCTGCTGGATAATTTCACTCTACAAATTAAGTCTTAAACACTATGTGATGAACTTTTATAAAAATTTCAGAGCCCATCCGTATGTCCCAAGGAACATAGGAACTCAGCCACAAATTCAATAGAATAAAATAGCTATGAAAGCTTCAGCTTTCTAAGGAAGTGCTGAGCAATACAGTCCTGTGGTCTTTTACACAAAATCTGAAAGCAAGACTAATTCATGTACAGCAGGAAACATTACAAAGTTTATAAGATCACTCTGCCTTTATAAGACCACTCAGCCTTCAAGACAGTCTTCTAAAGATTTTTACTCAGAATATTTGGCATCCTTTTAAATGACTCATCCTGATTTAAAAAGACAAAATATCTTAAGCATATGTGGATATAACATTTGCCTTCAAGTTTTAGATTTAACTGTTCTTAATCCCAAAGATCACAATTAAAATATTCATTCTTTGTTATGGCCATTTGCCAAATGTGTACACATATAAGGAAAATGCTTCAAGACCAATGTGAATGTTTTTTACCTAATGTCAAAAACAAAAACCATTCTGGTTTTTTTTTTGAAACAGTTGAATGCAAAACATATATTTACAAAAATTTAGAGAAATGCTTTAAAACCAAGGAAACTATTCGATTTCTAAAAAATCCGTAACTTTTATTTTATTAATGTATTATATTCTTATATTCCCAATTGAAGACTTTCTATTGTTACTTTTTATCTCATAGTACTTATCTTACAAGAAATCTGAATTCTCTGGGGCCTAGTGCTGGTTCCTAGGGTTTCAGGTGAGCTAGTGTCCTGTTTCATTCAAGTTCTGTTTTCTCTCAGTCTGTCAGTCTCTCATATACCAGTGAAAGAACTGTCAGCATAGATTGTGGACAGGTGAAGGATTGTCAGATCCAAGAAATCTCTAACTGAACTTTAGAAAAAGGCATGACTTGGATGTGAAGAGTCATTACTATGGAGACTGAAACGAGAATTGTTTTCCACCACACAGGGGGAGACACCAGGACACAGCTGCCATCTTCAGTTAGGTCCTGTCATGAGAATAATACCCTTCTCATCAGCAGACTTTGTTGGGCTCTTGATCATTTAGAATTCAGAGTAAATGGAGAAGCAACCAGGAAGCTACCTCATACTGGACCATTACATTATTTCCAACTCTAGGCTGGGCATGTTATATCTAATCTGGGTTTGAATAATGTGACTAGAAGTATTCATTTGGATTTGACACTTTACCTACCAGGCTATATATAGATCTGAAGGACTTTTTATTAAAAACCATAGAAGTAATTTAATTTTATAGCTGGAAGAGCTATTCAACATCTCCTGTTTATTTTCAAACTTATTAGGCACTGTGCTCTTGAAATAAAACTTATTAGGTGCTTTTGAAGTAAAAACATAGGTACATGCCAAATAAGCAAAGCACATTAACAGAGAGCTACTTGGGTTAAATAAGAAGTAGTCTGCAGTAGGGCTTTGCAGATCTTGGTTTGAAAAACACTAAATCTACTAACAGTTCTGATTTGACAGATGAGATTTAGGAGCAAGGTCATACATATGCAGAGCAGGCCTCAAATTCAGATTTTTATTCCTGAAACAATGTTCTTCCTACTGGGCCACTATGGCCACCATAAACATGATAAAGAACATTTCCATCACTCTAAAAAGTTCCCACATGCCCCTTTACAATCAGTCCCTTTCCCCCAGTCTCCATCTGAAACTATTAATTTGCTTTCTGTGGCTATACTTTTGCCTTTCTAGAATTTCACATAAATGGAGTCATTCAATATATATAGTCTTTTGTATCTAGTTTATTTCAGTTAGCACGACACCTTCAAGATTCATCCATGTTGTTGCACGTGTCAGTAATTCATTTCTTTTATTAATGAGAGATATCCTTTTATTGCTGAACAGTATCTCTAAATTATTATATTTATCTCTATGTATGTATGTATGTGCACATTCATCAAAAAATATTTATTAAGCACTTGCTATGGCTAGGCAAGATTCTAGGTGATAAAGATATAGCAGCAAGCAAAACAGACAAAAATACCTGTGCTTTTGGATCATACATGGCTAGAGGAAGACATCAACAACAACAACAAAAAACTTAAAATACAAGATACAACAGACAGTATTAAGTACTAAAGAGAAAAATCAGGCAGGGAAGAGAGATGGAATACGTCAGCGTGAAGGGGGTACAACTGTAGGTGGAGTAGCCAGGGAAGCACTCACTGAGAAGGTGACAAACTGCTGAAGGAAGTGAGAGAGCACGTCATGTGGACATCTCCGGGGGAAGCACTCCAAGGAAAGGAACTACCAAGTCCAAAGTCCCTAATAATGGCATGTCTGGCATTTCTGTGCAACACTAAAAAGGCCAGGGTAGCTGGAGATGACTGGAAGGGAGAAATGTAGGAGGTAAGAGCAGAGAGATAACAAGGTGGGGTGACGGTCATGTAGGGCTGTATGAGACTTTGGAAGGACGTTGGCTTTACCCCTAATAAGATGGAAAGCCAGTGGAAGTTGTATAGGTAAGGGATGACATCATTTGACAAACATTTTAGAGGATCATTCTGGCCAATGTGTTGAGTATAAACTGAAAAAGTTAAAAGAAAACTAGCTGGGAGGCGATGGCAGTAATTCTGGTTAAGATACAATGGTGCCTTTGATTCGCATGGTAACTGTGAAGGTGGAAAGGAATGGTGGGGTTTTAGATATATTTTGAAGGTGGAACCAAAAAGATTTGCTGTTGAATCAGATGAAGGATGTGAAAGAATGAGAGAAGTCAAACTCTAAGAGTTCCAGCCTAAATGAAGGAAAGAAAGGCTTCAGCATTTACAGAAAGAGAAATGTCTGAGGAGTAATAACAGGAGTGCGGTTTGGGTATGTCTGAGATGTCTGGGCACTGAAGGGATGGAGCCAGTGGCTCTCAGAAGCCAATCGTTAAATTTTCAGTAATTATTCAGTAAACATAACATTGGCAGCCTGAAATCAGGTCTTCTCCGCCCTTTGCCCCACCCCCACCCCTACTCAAGAGCCTGTTTATATTAAACATTTACCAGCACACCTCAGCCTACTAGATACACAAGTGATAGTGTAGGCATTTATATATATGAGTCTAGAGTTCAGGGGAGAGGTCTACTGGAGATAAAAAGTTGGAAGACATCAGAATATGGATACTTAAAGCCAATCTCTCCTCACCAGGCAAATGAAGATAAAGAGAGGGGGAGAGAGAGCGAGAGAGCGAATCCTTCAAGGTCTGAGCCCTCCAATGTTCACCAGTCAGGAAGATGAGGAGAAACCAGGAAGGGAGTCTGAAAAGAAGGGTCCACAGAAGTGGGAGAAATGCCAGGTGAACCAAATGTCCTGAAAGACAATATTTCAAAAACTAGTGATAGGGCACGTGAGAGATGTGGCTGAAATGCCAGCCAGGTAAGACTGAGAACTGACCACCGAATAAAGTCGTGTTGAGGTTATTCTTGACCCTGTAAAGTAATTCAAAGGAGTGGTGCAGGATAAAAGTCAGGTAAAATAGACTGCTTTTGTTAAAAGAGAAGGAGGTAAAACAATCAGCAAGCTGTCACCAAACCTCTAACCACTGTGTCCAGTTGCCTGATAATGATGAAAGGTGATGCCTTTCATGCCCTGGGACTTGAAAACTCCCCAGAAGATTTTAGGTAGGTACATGCAGTACATATTTTCTGTTATTGGTGCCAAATACATAGCATCTACATTTTTAAATATTTATACATAATTTTTTTTTTTG